TACGATCATCCGACGTGCATTTCAGACGCTAAAAAGAAAACAAAATTCAAACTCGTGCTACTTTTTCATCGTTTTCGTGGAATCGAACTTCCAACCGACGTTTCTCATTCAGAAAGCGCCCAGTTCTGTCCCCTAGTTGTGAAAACAGTAAACCAACGCTCTATTATGGTCAATTTTCCGGAGAACCTGACATAACCGGAAGTTGGAAATATTGAAGGTGTCCCAATGTACCCGGTGTCTCACTGTACCCCACCTTCCCTTAGTTGTGCATTTCAGTACCTTCGCGGCTGCATTGTGTGCTCCTTTTCAAAGTCAAACAGCTTAAGGTCAGGCTGCAATTCAAAACCACACAACTCTTGAGCACTATCCTTTAAAAATTGGGACATTTTCACATACTTGTTCAAACAATAAAGCATCAAGAGAATGGAGCAGATGACTGAGAGCGGTTAAGTAATGGAAAGTTTGCTTACGTCGTCTCCACTTTCCCTGGCAGTGGGAAATAATAATCTTATATTCAAAAAGGGGGGAGGGCGGGATACCTTAAGCTTGTCTGAGCACGGCGGTAATATGAGACATACTATGGAACACAAAGTACATGACACGTGACTTCGTCATACGTGGTTGGTGGCAATTTGTGATTGGGTGGATGCCTGCTCCTCTTGTTTGGCTCCGTAATACCTGATAAGCTTCGACTTGTTGCAAGCCACGGCGTAGGAAAGATTCAGTCGTGTACGATGGGTTGCCTAATCGGACACCGGCAGGCGCTCGCCCACATCTTACTTCAAGGGCTGGACAGTGGCACATTAATTTCAAAATTCACCATTTATTTTATGAAAAATCAGTCGAAGGGAATATTTACATTCAGTAACCCAGGAGGAAACACATTTAATACATGGCAAATCACTTATGCTTCAGTGTGCTATCTGTTGCTTTCCCACACTCTAAATGTCTTACAATGAAATTTGGCCTACGTTATTCGTATGTTACAGTGAATTCGGCGCAAGCATAATACGAAGCAATATTCCTTCGTAATACGAATCTTTTTAGCATTTTCATTGTAAGATACAAAGAAAAACCTTCGTAATACGAAGAAAAAACACCTTCGTATTATGCTTGCGCCATTTCCTTCGTATTATGGGAAATTTCTTCGTAAGACATTTAGAGTGCACGTTTTGCACGTATTTTATCTTTCTAGTCTTTATGAACAAATGTGGGATTAACAAGAGTTCAATATTGCAAAAGTAAACAGACAGACACTCATCAGTAAAAGTATACAGGAACTTTCGTGATGGCTCCAAAACTTGAACGTCAAAGGCCTCCGGCCTCGTCATTTGTTTCTGAGACACAGCCTTATTGCCATTTTTTGAGGTCTTCAGGGAAACTTGAACGTCAAAGGCCTCCGGCCTCGTCATTTGTTTCTGAGACACAGCCTTATTGCCATTTTTTGAGGTCTTCAGGGAATGTGACGAAACCTTTCACTTCTTGAAATAAAAGCTGAAATTCGTAGACAGATATTTTTCTCTTTCGACTGTAAGGGAAGGTGTAAGAAGACAGTTTTATTTCCACCTCAGCAGCAGAAAAACATGGAATAATAAAAAAATTGCATGATGGGATCTGATGCCGTCAATGTCCAGAGCAGATTGGAAGCGGATTTGTAGAGCTTCTTCGTGAGCTTAAATATCCTCAAAGGGCACCCAGCATGCTGTTACGCCATCAATATTAGATTGCACCCACTCCAAAAAGGCATGAGCATTAGTGATTTGCTTTTCTGTAGCTGACAGTCGCAAGCAGTGCAACATACATTGCCGCTCCATCATGCCTCTGACACCATCTCAAGCCGATTTCCCATGGCTTGTTGCGAAGAAATGCCATTCTGCATCAACTCCAAAGTCTCTTTAGTGAAACCATACTTATGCAGCAGCCTTCTTGTTTTTGTACTGCTCGGCACATGCATCACTGAAGTATATAACTTTTTTTACATTTACTTGTAGTGTTTCCTTTCTATGAGCAATTAATTTTTCCTGGAATTTGTTGACGGCAGCAGCAGTGCTGTATTATATACATGAACACCACGTTGTCCTTTTGCTTAACTGCCCTAAAATGACCTCGCAAACAACGGATATGAATATTCATCGCATCACATGAATTTTCATAACGTGATTGTAAAACAATTTACAATTATTTCTGATTTTTGGCCCGTCCCGTTTATTTGTTTATTTTTTGTAAGAAAAAATGACGGAGGGACGGGCATATAGTATGATCCCTGCTGTGCGTCCGTTCGTTCGTCCGTCCGTCCGTCCGAGGACTTCACGTGGTCCGATCTTGACCAAATTTGGTATGCAGCCTCCTTGGGTGACCCTAAGAACCGCCCGGTGGCAGCAAATCCGATCCGAGCCCCGGGGGCGCTGCTGCAGGTGCATCATGGTCTACATGGGGTCGAAGGGGATTTCTACAACGGATACAGCTAGCACGGCATGTAGGGGTAGGGGTTTTGGAATCAGGGCGACGAGAAAAAACCAACGGTGCCAGTTTCAAGTGAATCGGAGAAGTTTGAACCCGGGTTCAAACCCCAGTGGAGTATATTTTGAACATTTTTTTTTCTCGAGTTTTTGCATTGTTTCTGATGTTTTTGAGGGTGCCGATGACGAAAGTAACATAAATTTGGACCCCAGACTGAGGTTCAAATGCCGTTAGGGATAAACATTAGCGAAATTCACACATTTCTAAATGTACGGGACGGGCCAAAGTTGCCGATGTATATCGCTACTTTTCCTGTTATAATTTTCATTACAACTCTTTGTGAGAAAAAATGCCGACCAATGTTAAGAAAATTTCAATTGATTTTTAACAGCGAGGTTGAGGTCACTGATGAGCAACGGATTTGTTGGTAATTTCTGTGTCGAAGTAAATGGAATCTCCTCAAAATCATCATCATCATCGGTATCATTGCAATGTAAGGTACCGACAGTGGATTGCGGCACAAGTTTTCGCTCCTCGTCGCCTTCTATGTCAAAAATCGGCGGCATAGATGCCACCTGCTTCGTTGGGCTAACTGTCTTCTCCTCCATCTCGCTTTTCAATTCAGGGACTCAACGCAACTCAGGACACAGCGTTTCCTAGATCCCATTTTTAGGCACGAAGTAGCCTTATAGTATACCCAGGATTCAGCCGGCCCGAGATTCGATTTGTGTGGCCCTTTATGCATTTCGGAAATTTTCTATACGATTTTAATGAGATTTTGCAGACTTGTAGATCTTTGAACGCTGATTCTGATGCTGAAATCTGGTTAAAAATTTGGTGGCCAAATTTGAGAAATTTGCTGTCAAAATCGCCGTTTCCATGGCAAAACTCGACTCGTCAAAGGAAAAAAAAGGGAGTGGGGAGAGCCGAGCCGAGCCGGACCAATAGCGGAGCTTCTTTTTGGGTCTGTACAGCTTACTCCAAAAGCTAAAATAGCACGTTCGAAATGAAAAATTTCTTTGACTGCAGGTAGACAAGATGCAACAATAGAATTGGTGTCGTTTCGAACGTGGCCATTTGGATCGGCCGGCCGGCCAGTGACTTTTTATGAGAGTGTCCCGCACCAATCCCGCACCTCTGCGTTGTTGTTTTTGTTGTTGTTTTGTTGAAAATTTTTGTTACTCTTCAAATCGGAGTGAATTGAGCCATTTAACTGCGTACCTGTGCACATGCATCTGTGAATTATCTTTCCTTAATGCAGTTTAAGAGTCGCTTTAAGACTTTCAGTGCTCATGTTCCTCGAACAAGACTCACCCGCGTTTCGAGACCATCCTTCTCGAGTTTGTAAAGTTTGTCAAGCCAACCGTCGTGGTGTTGCTACGTTGTGAGTGAGAACTATTACACAGAATTGAAGAAAACATGACTAGAGAACCGTAGCCTTTTGAAACAAGCCAAACAATTCAACGTCAGCAACAATGGAGGGGCAGTTTTAATGCGCGACTATACTCGTGTTTTCAGCTTCGCGATTTTCGCAAGGGCGCAGACGCCGACAAAATTGTTGCCAACCCGCGAAAATTAGTTTACTGCCTTCTTTATCTGCTACCAAAATTTTCATAATGATGGACTTCAAATATGTTCCTTTGTCAGATCACTCTGGAATATATTAGGATTGGAATTTTTCGAATTTCCCGGCATTTTGATTTCTCTTTATTGCCAAGGTTAAATTTTGACGGGTGGCACATCGACCACATTGGTACCACTGCCGTTCGTAGCCACCCTTGAGCCACCCCCTACCTTTTACATAACTTTTTTGCTTTCCCCACACTCCTACCCAAATTAACTTCGTGACTCCTAGGATTTCTTGAAATCGTATTTTTTTTAATAACATCAATGAAATTCGTGGTAATAAATAATAGATACATAAATAAAATAGATATGGAAAACTCAGGTACTTCATTTTACACAGTGAATCTATCTTGATGTTTGAACATTACTAAAAACGGTTAAAAAAAACTTGAAGTGCTCGGTAAAATGGCCGCCACATGATGCTTCTCTGCTCCAGGACCCGCTGCCGCAGCCGGACCCAGGCGGCCTGCCGCTCGGCGCCGCAGCGCGCCAGGCGGTGCTCGACGTCCTCCGGTTCCTGGCACCGGGAGCAGTCCGGCGCCGCGGCCTGCTTGGTGGCTTGCTGCCGGATGGATGGCGGTGGGGAGCACGTCGTGGTCTGCTTCAAACCAGGTCGACCGGGCGTCGACGGGCAGGTTCTTGGCGTGCACGCAGCGCCAGATGTGCTGCTGCACGTCCACGTCGACCTCGTGCATGGCTCTGGACACGGGCACGTCCTCGGCGAGGGCGGCAGCGAAAATGGCGCCTAGATGACTCCACCAGTTGGTGTGGCCTAGACCACGTTTGGTTTTTCAGGGCACTAGAGTTGTACGTATTCAGTTAACGAAATTGTGATTCCCTATCGACTTCGGGCGCCGACCCCTCATCACTCACTCCTCATTCTATTAAACGGTTAACATAAATTGAACAATCGGTTTAAGTTTTATAAAAACTAGATTTAATGAGAAACGATTCAGAAACAGATGCGATAAAGTTTGACGGGTGAACGTAAATGGTGCTGTTAAAGGCATTTCAGTAAAATGAGGCCGGCGAAGACGGACAGCAGCGAAGACGAGAAACGCGCCGAGCTGGCAGCCACTTCGGGAATGGTCCTCGTCTCCCCAACCTCCTTGAAGAACGCCGAGGACTTCTTGAGCGTTCGGTTCAGCGATCCGCCGGCGTAGTCCACGTGCACCAAACCGTACGAATATCTGCAAAGAGAAGAAAGGCTTGGAAGAGCTTCCAGAGCGAGCGGCCACCAAGCAGACCAAGCCACCAATTTGTTTCGAACAGTGTGCATGCACTGAAAGCCGATGAGTGTACTCAGTACTTTCTCTTAGTGAGATGTGAACTAAGGTTTTCACAGTGAATTCAGCGAGAGCATAATATGAAGCATTTTATCTTCATAATACGAATCTTTGAATTTTCTTCTCAGGATACTAGCCTAATTTTAATGTTTCACGGGCGTAAGACTGGAAACGTACTTGTACTGACGAACCCACTCGAAAAGATCTATGAGGCTCCACGCCAAGTAGCCGAGAACACGCACGCCATCTTCTTCGATGCCTCGAACTAGCTCCCGCATGTAGGCCTGCCAATTAAAGGACATGATTACTAGAAATAGCGTGCCTGGGTGCAATGTCCAAAAACGCGCAAACAGGTGCCAACTTGGTTTTAGAGGATGTACAGTCTGCGCATCAATTCTGCAGCTATGTTAGACTGAAAGTTTGCAGAAATCAGAAATGAGCAACCTGGAGTTGCTTTCTACCAGGAGTGGTGCCGAAACCACTTGAGGGTTAGTCTCACTCACACTATGGTAAACAGCGCGGATGTTGTCGTCAAGGGATACGACGCTGTTCTCTGTGATGAAACCGTTCTCCGTCACGAATATGGGGACGCGGTACTCCGCCCAACACCACAGCGCCGCCTCCTTCAAACTCCAGGGTGTCATCTGGAAACAAAAGCGCACGCTTTCTATTGGTCCGCCTGGCTGTGAATGCAACCACTTTCGCTCGTTAGATTGTGAACCGAAATACGGAGTTCTGTGGCTGCTGCCCACTGTATTGGTTACAGTCCGTACCTGAGAAAATGCAGTGACAGCATGAGAGCCAAACACGTCGTTGGCAACCACTCGCACCGCCGCGTCGGTCAGAGCGCTTCCTCGCTCCGGTCGTTTCGCAGCCGCGATTGTCTGCCCAAAGTAATTATTGACGCCGAGAAAGTCAATGGTTCCTGCACGAAGGAGAATCCCAGAAGTGATTAGTTGGTAAGGGGGGGGGGGGTGGAAAGCACAGGCAAAGGTTCAGTGATTCCGTTGGCTACAGCTCGAGTTGGTGTTGGCTAGTTCGTCAACCGAAGTAAATTCGGTAAATACCACATAAATGCCCATGTATACAGCAAATGCTGCGTGCGAACGTATGTGTAGTGTATGAGCAAAGTAATGCTGAATGAGTTTTAGAGTATGTCCTGGTTTCACATCACTAATTTAATTCATACTACTTAAACTAAACTCATCATTGATCACCGAAAACCATTTCGAGGGGTCCAATTCATTGGCGTTCCCCCCAAGAATCTTATCTTAAACGCAGGCGAATTTCAGTTCGTTTGATCATTTGATACAGCTACATATCAATAAAATTTGTGCTTCAGTTCACGTAAATCTGAAGATGGAAGCTCAAAGAAACCAAAAGTGCATGTAGAATTACATTCCGCCTACTCTTCTATTTATCCTAAATGATAAGAAAGAAAGTGAAATTTGCCTGTGTTTAAGATAAGATTCTCTTGGGGGAACGCCCAGATAAGATCATTTTTCAGCACTTTGGCACTTTTGTAAAACTTTTTTAAATTTAATTTGAAAATTTTTTGAAAA